GCACAACAAGATATTTAATCCACACTTCAAATATGAATATTCCCATAAATAAGATTCAAGTGTTGGAGAAAATATGACACACTTAGATATTCAATACATAGCAAGAAAATGAAGAAATGAACATAAATGGGTAAGAAAATCTCAACCAAAAGCTTCAAATCTTCAAGCCCCAAGTGTGTGTGCAAGAACCCTAGCTTCAAAACTTATGTTCTCTAGTCANAAAACGTAAAATTCCAAAACTGCCCAATTTGTCCGCCTGTTTCTTCTTCGCGTTCACGAAGGTTTATTTTCTGCAACTTCGCATTCGCGATCTCTCCTTCGCGCTCGTGAAGGTTTGGTTTTCTTCTGCTTCGCGTTCGCATTACTCCTTCACGTTCGCGAAGGGTAATTCACTGGGCAGATTTGCATTGTTCATTGAAGATGAGAAAAGTTGGTAAAATACCCACTTATCAACTTGTTCGACAAACGAGCTTGATCAACCCCTCTCGGAAGACTTAGGGACTATAGAGACGAAGCAGGTGGTCGAGGGTAAATCGAGGTGCTTTGGTGTTGTTGACGAAGTGGTGGAGGAGGATTACGATCCTCCAAAAGGACAGGTGAATCTACCCAAGGCAGACCTCGTACCTTTTGCAGAAGCCGAGAATTATAGGGTCCACCGGGACGAGCATAAATGAGTAAATATAAATAATTAGATACCCCTCCACGTGAGTGGTAATGTCTTCGTTGGGCCCGGGGATGACCACTTCCTTGCTCTCCTAGTTGCAGTCCACCCGAACTGTGAGAAGTGTGTCCTTGGTAACGGAGCATATGTACCTCCATGCTCCCTCGACTCAGTCCTGTTGACTGGAGGTCTTCTCGACTTTGAAGTCGTTCTCAATGGAACAGCCTCCGGGGAAGAAGCTCTTCAAAGGGGGTTCTGGGGCCACCTCGGCATCCGTGGCCGGGTTGGAAGTTGAAGGGACGGTCTCTTGAGGCACAAATTTGGAAGTTTTTTCCATCGGATTATAGAAAATATGAAGGTTTGAAGGTAAGGATGAAGGTTTGAAGACGAGGATAAAGATTTGTAGATAGGGATGAAGGTATGGAGGTCTGATTTGAAGATTTGAAGGAGTATGAACTTTTGAAGATAAAAATATGAAGATCTGGAAAACAATGGATGGAGGTTTGAAGGGGTTAGAAATAAGTGAAGAATTCAAGGCTAAGTCAGGGAGCTCTGGATTCGAAAAGTAAAAACATGAAAAAGGGTCGAAGCTTTTATAGGGAAAGGGCAATCAATGCGTGACATTTCACATTCGAGAACGGTCAACCGGCGGCTGACACGTGTCCGAAGTCAGAACGACGCGAGTAATGGGACGTTTCGCTGACCCGTCAACTCGGTTGTAGGGTATGGAAGAAGGAATTGGGGTTAGTTTATCGATTCTAGTCGCTTCGAGGAATCTACTCTCCAGGAAACGAGGGGACTATCTGCGTACAGGTGAAATAGAGGGCAAAGTTTTCCCCGATAAAGGAACAAAGGGGAAGTGCGGCTTGAAGTGATTATAATTGAGGCCCAAGAGCCCCTCATATCGAAACCCGGGAGGAATGAATAATGTATCTGAGATCGGACACGATGAAATAACGGACCCGGATCAAGTATAGCTTCTGGACCTCGGGGGACACGATGAACGGTTACGCATGACGAGCAGGGGGCCGTAATATTCGCCCTCAACCGGATATTACGGCACAAATCACGTTCAATATCAACTATAGATCAATATTTATCGGGAAAAGAAGATTTTACCTTTTTTAGACTTGTACTATGACTGAAATGCTCTTACTATATAAAGGGAAATATTTTCTTTATTCTAATATATTATGACACGCAAATCAAAGCAATAAAAGTTTAATTTTGTCTTCTAGCTATTGTTAAAAGCATTACTCATTTGTTCTTTTCTTTACTCACGACTGAGCTTGTCCGAGGGTCCAATTGAGGATGAATTTCAGTGTTCAGTCTAAGATCAGGCTTGGTCACTACATTGCGATTGGTTTGATCATTTATTTTGTTTTTAACTCATTTACTTGTTGTTCTTAATTATTCGTATTGAATTAAACCACGTATCCTTTAAACCACATATAAATTTAATTGTTATTCATTTTTGGGGTAAACAATGAGAACAAAGGCGTCACTAGAATTTAAATTTTATGGGTTCAAAAATTTATAATAGCAGCATGAATTTCTTAATATAAATGAATTTTGACAAAAGTTATCGGGTTCGGCCGAACACATATGTAACATGCTGGCTCCACCCATGTATGACAGACAATTACAAATATAATTGTATCTCGATGTAGCTTTAAACAAAATTAAAATATGCAATTAAAATTAGAAGTTCTTGCTAGAGGAAAAACAAGAAACCAACTTAGCATTTTGTTAAAACAAATATATAAGTAAATTGGATCGTCTTGTACCTTACATAAGCATAATTCATATTATGTCAAGTAAAATGAGTATAAGAAACCATATGTGGATACACACTTGATGATATAAAATTCATGGACAGCTGCAGAGATAAGCTCTTAAATTTAAACGCAGGTTTTGATGTAATTAAAAGGGAAATTGGAAATACTTGTGAGAATCCTTATCGAATATTATTCAAAAGTTTCTATTATATATATATATTTGTCGGTTCTTCACTTTCAGTACTTTGATGCGAGTTTGTTATGTAAAATAACAATGGAGCTTCGTTTGAAATACAAAATGATCATCATATATGCTGTGAGCTACAGTATTGAGACCCTTTAAGGATAAAAAATGAGAATTATTACTAGCTAGGGAAAGGTACAGGGTATAGTTCATAGTATAACTTAATTTAATCACTGCAGTTGAGATACTTTTGTGAGTTTTGAAGCAACATTAACTAAGACACTGAAGAACTCCCTAACATAATTGATTATGGATTCGTGACGTTGTATCAATAGATGCACGAATGAAAAGAATTAAATGCTAGACATTAGTATTGTTTGCTGGCTATATTGCATGCACCTCTTAGCTGCTACCAATATATTTCCCAATAATTATTATACTATAATTTGAAAAGAAGAAAAACATCAAACATGAACATACATTTTCTTATTATACCATGTGCAAATTGCAATTATCACCCCCTAAATTTAGGAAATAGATACACCCACCCCACCGGAGATTAATTTGGAAATAGATTTAGCAACTATATACACACTGAAAAATAACTAAATACTCTCTCTCCTGTCCATGGTATAGTTGAAGACATGAATACACGTTTATTTTGTGAAGTCAATATTTTGGGTGATAATTTAGTTAACATAATTAGGAAAAGCTTACGAGATGTGTAATTGTTGATTTATAGACTGTAAAATTAGTCTCTTTAATTATTAGTTCATCACGTGCCAGTCATAGAAGAAATCTAAAAATAGGGTAATTTATACAAAATACCCATTGAGCTTAAAATAATTATCCTTCTCTACCCATTTGAAAATTATTTACGATATATACCTATTATCCAGTTAAAACTAATTACCTAACCTAGCTTAGCTTGATTTGGCTTGGTTCGGCTCGATTTGGCTCGGCTCGGCTTGGTTCGGCATGACTTGGCTTGGCTAAAAAAAATAGGTAGGGAGAAAACTTTATGGGTAGGGGTGAGTAGGGCTGTGCATAATTTGGTAAATACCGAATTACCATACCGAAATCGAAATTTTTGGTATTTGGTATGGTATTTGGTTTATATTTTTTAAAAGTTGGGTATTAGGTATGGTATTTGGTATTTTTTTTAAAAATACCGAAATACCGATACCGTACCGAAATATATATTGGATTAATTTTAAATTTCATGTCATCCTTGCAGCCCGCAATTACCATAGAGCTTAAGGAGAATGTTTCTAGTTCCATATTCTTTAGTTAAAGCCTGTGGCCTGTGCACCACCTATTTTTGTCTATGTGGTTAATGGATGTTACCCGAATGATTTAGGTAAACAACACTTGTGAAAAACTTATTTTGGTCACATTTGAGAAGCTTACTGGTGTCTGGTATATTACGGAGATGCAAGTTAGAGCTTTAGACCAGACATACTTACATGTTGATGAAGTTTGTAAACGCTATTCTAATCTTATGCTCTTGTTTATAGAAGTCCCATATATGATGTATAGTGTTGTTGCATTCATAAGATTGATTTTGTTGGTTAGTTATAATTTTAATTTTGCTGGCTAGTTAAGGTGTTATTCTCCCCTAAATATAACGTTCAGAAGTTACTTTAGAACCAAATAAATTGAAATTACCGTACCGAATAAACCGAAACCGAAAGGCAAAAACCGAATTTTATTAGGTATGATATTGGTATAGCATTTTAGGATACCAAATACTGAAAATATCAAACCGAAACGTCAAAATACCGTACCGACCGATGAACACCCATAGGGGTGAGTAAATAATTTGTGGCGAATGGGTATTTGCAAAATATCCCCATCTAATTATTCACTCTCAAAGATTCTTATCACAATGTATAACTTTCGCATGACACTATAAACTAAAACAAATTCTGAAAGTTATTATTCTGACACTAAAACTTTCCCATGACACTATAACATGAGGAATCTATAAGGTGGAGACATTTTCTCTTGTGTGGTCCCTTTTAGTATTCTTATTATTCTTTAGTAGGAACAGTATTTTTTAAAACAAAAATGGAAAGTAGTAAAATATATTGGGCTCATATTGTCACATTATTAATTAATTAACTATACAATTCTTGAGCAGTGCTAGAACATTATTAAAGTAGTAACTTGTTAATTTTGTCTTATAAAAATATTATATCAAAATAATTTTTTTTGAAACAGTAATACCGCTCATGTAATGATTGAAAAATTTGTGAGATGTTTCAACATAAAAAGTCATATTATAAAGTAATGTAATTGAAAAGGAAAAAGAAAAAGAAAAAGAAAAAGAAAAGATAAAAGAGTGCTCGTAAATGCCATTGCTCTGTTTTTTATTTTTACTGTGTCCACGGCAGTCACTCTTTCGCTCAAGATTCAAAACATTGAACACTTTCAGCTCATTTTGTGTTTGACTAATTGCCCCAACAAAGGTTTTTGAAGTTTCTCTTTTCGTCATTGCCCTTAACTAAATTGTCTCAAAAAGAGGTTGTTCCTTTTTCTTGTTCGTTGTGCTCCTATTGAGTTGAATACCGAAAAAAGATCGATGACCCTTTTCTTATTGGAAGAAAATGAAGTAACCGTTTGCAGTTGAACTCAAGATTTGCTCATTTCAAGTTCAAATCTGGCGTTTTCTTGAGGTCAGAATTGACTTTTTCTTTTATGGGTATTGGCCTTTTGTTGACTTCATTCAAGATTCGGTTGATGGTATTGTGCTCTTCTGTTACAATGTTTTGATTCTTGATAGACATGGCTTTTCATTGTTTGAGTATAGATCAATACTTAGAAAAGTTTTGAATGTTGAGCAATTGACAGTGTAAGAAAAGTTTTGAATGTTGAGCAATTGACAGTGTATTGTGATTGACTCTTGTGCTGCTAAAAGAGTCAAATAGTTGGTTGAACTTTGCTTCGAGGTTGATTGAGCTTGTGCTGAATTTGTCATTATTGAGGATATTTTCAGTGTACTTGATGTACTAAGATGGAGTTATTATCTATTCTGGTCTTTATAAGCTTTCCCTCATTTTAAGCTAATATAGTTTCAGAAATTTTCATTATATTGATAGAGTTGGATAAGGCCTAAGGTATTAGTTTCGTGTGTCAAATTCAGTGGACATCATATTGGTTACTTCTGGCAAGAGTCTCTTTGAAACAATTTAAGGTTGTCTGATTACTATTATGGCTTCTATTAGAAGAACATTGTCCCCAGTGCCTCGTCCTGGTAGTACTATGAATGGAGAAGCATGTCTTGTTGCCTCTCCTTTGTCCAAGTCATCATCATGTACTCATAGCTATACACCAACTGGTACGTTGCTGTCTTCTCTTGGTTCATTGGATTATGCATTGTACAAGGTTCAAACATTTGTACTTGGTTTTTTGTCGCGAAGATCTTCTAGGCCCCTGGAAAGGTCAAAGTTGAAGGGGCTCATTTGGAGGAGAGCTCTTCTTCAATTCTTTTTCTGCTTCGTGCTTGGAGTATTTATTGGCCTCACTCCATTTGTTTCACTAAATTTGTCAACAAATTTTATATCTAAACATCAAGCTTTCTCCTTTGAGGTCGAAGAAAATGCTCGCTCATATGACGTATCTAGAAATGTGACTTCAACCACTGAGGACTTGCCTATCGTGGATAATTCGACATCAGAGCCTAACTTATTACATGTTGAACTGAAAAAAGAAATTTCCAACAATACCTCCTTTAACCAGTCACTTGAACAAGAATTTATGTTGTCCCGTAACCTTTTGATTATTGTGACACCTACAGAAACTCGGCCATTTCAAGCATACTATCTGAATCGTCTAGCCTATGGATTAAAGTTGGTGCCTTCTCCTTTGCTGTGGATAGTTGTTGAGATGAATTCTCAGTCTGTTGAAACTGCTGATATATTGAGAAGAACTGGAGTTATGTACAGGCATCTTGTGTGCAGCAAGAACATAACTGATGTGAAAGAAAAAAATGTGCACCTAAGGAATGTTGCACTCTCTCACATTGAAACACACCATCTAGATGGTATTGTCTATTTTGCTGATGAGTACAACATATACTCTGCTGATTTATTCGAGCAGATGAGACAGATCAGGTACTCTATTTGTTAAATTTTCTTACTTTTTGCGTGTTAGCGACCTTATTTTACTTTTGTGACATAAAGCCAAGTGGAAGAAAGTTTCCAGTAGGATATATCCTTAGGGAACATTACCTATGCTCAATTTGGTTCATAATTGCTTGTTCTCATTTCGATAATCTCGCATAAGCTGTTATTATTTTGTTTATAGTTATATTGGGAAATTCATGTTTAAATCCTTAACAGGTCAACTGTCATTTGCATCTTGATCACTCTGATCTTGGGTGCCTCTCACTATATCTTTTCTCATTATAAGCATTTGTTTTAAACGCGATGAATCACGCCCTTCTAGGTAATCCGCTGAGTCTGTAATCCTATTTATCAACTTTTTTGATAAAAAATTGTTGTATGCAGCCGGTTCGGGACATGGATTGTGGCAAGACTAGCTGAAAATAATAGGAACGTTATCTTGCAGGGTCCAATCTGTAACGCCTCTCAGGTTATAGGTTGGCACACTGAAGGTAGAGCAAAAAGATTTCAGAGATTCTATGCAGAAATATCGGGATTTGCGTTCAATAGTACGATACTTTGGGATCCTAAGAGGTGGCACCGACCAACACTAGAACCTATAAGGCAGTCTGATACAGCCATAGCTGGTTCCCAAGTGAGTTTTGTGTTCCTGGATCTTTGATGATTGTTAATAAAAATAGATATTCTGTTAGTGGATACTTCTTCAAGAGCATGGCTAGTGAAAATGTATTTGAAGTTGGAGCACTGTACCCAATCACCCTTGGGAGAAAGGGATATTACAGCTGTTATCTGTGTTACCGTGTGCGAATATGTCAACCCTAATGATTTTATTTGCAGGTGAGCACATTTATCGAACAAGTGGTAGAAGATGAAAGCCAAATGGAATGCTTACCAATGCACTGTTCGAGAATCACGGTTTGGCAATTCAACACAGACACGTTGTACCCATATCCTCATGAGTGGCTTGTGAAGAATTACTCAAGCACCATTACTTCAATTGGATTACAATTTTGACATACAGAGAGATTCTTGAGCATTAACAAGGTGCGTGAATTATGTCTATATATTCCCCATGAAGCTCCTTACTAGCTCTTTTACAGTTTTCTTTGTTTCCAGTTTTAAGTTTATTCATTTATCTGTTGTAACTTCTACCGTATGAGTTGTCCGCTTGTCATGCTAGAAGAAATAACCCCCTTCTTCCATTTCCTCCTTCTCCACTGTCGGTTTTCAATTTGCTGCTATAATTTCAGCGATTTCCATATGTTTATGACGACATCATCATCATCATTATTAAGTATTTTGGGAAATCACATGCTGAGGAGTCTCCAACCTAAGTCACAATTTCCAATTATGAAAACTATGAGAAATAATACACTGGAAAACTATATTATTGATGTACAACAACAACAACAACAACCCAGTATAATCCCACTAGTGGGGTTTGGGGAGGGTAGTGTGTACGCAGACCTTACCCCTACCATGGGGTAGAGAGGCTGTTTCCGATAGACCCTCGGCTCCCTCCCTCCAAGAACTCCCCACCTTGCTCTTGGGGTGACTCGAACTCACAACCTCTTGGTTGGAAGTGGATGGTGCTCACCACTAGAGCAACCCACTCTTGTCCGAGCTGTTTCCGATATTATTGATGTACATTAACTATAATACAAGAACCCCTATTTTATAAAAATATACAATACCTACGCTATTCCTATTCTATGTAGGACTATGCTTATTTACATAACAACTAATTATCTAACACTCCCCCTCAAACCGGTGTATACAAATCACACGTACCGAGCTTCTTACATATGTAACTAATATGAGGATCAGTGAGAGACTTGGTGAAAATATTTGCAAGCTGATCATTCGACTTCACAAACTTTGTAGTAATATCTCCTAAGAGTATCTTTTCTCTGATGAAGTGACAGTCAATCTCAATGTGTTTAGTTCTCTCATGGAACATCAGATTTTATGCAATATGAAGGGTAGCATTATCGCTAGAGCTGTCAAAACGGGCCAGCCCAAGCCTCATGGGCTTTTAAATTTGGTGGGCTAGGATGGCTCGGCCCGCCACATGAATGGGCCTTAAAATGACCAGCCCAACCCAGCCCTTCAATGTTTTTTTAGAAAAAAGAATTTCTTTAAATCCTTAAATAATTTTTTGTGGCATAGTCGATTAATCATGTAAACAACATCTGTTTGCTTGATATGCGTACAAAAAGCTTGATATGTGACGAGGAATCTCGTAATTGAAATGCAAATTCTCTATATCTCTAGCTCTTCTTTTTTAAAGTTACATGAATATTTTCTTAATGCTTTTCTTTCATTTTCCTCAAATTCAGGGATTGCTTCATTAAGTTTATATGCTGAGGTTTTTTAACTTAGGATTAACATCATTTGCTGATTTCATCATTACAGTCCTTAAATTTTTTAAAATTCCTGAAATTTGCTAGTGGTCAATTTTTGTTTTTTGTGTATTTAAAATTGATATTTTTCTATACTGAAGAGCAGTTTAAATATTAGTAAGATATTAAATTAATCCAAACTGATCATTGGCCACTTAAAGTAATATTTTCTTTTGAAACAAGATTATTATTGGCCACCTAAAACTTTTCGAGTTCGTTATTAATTAAGCGAAAGAAAAACTAGTTTTGTCATATTACTTGCATGTCAAAAATCTAAATTATAGTTGATATGGAAGGGTAAATAAGCAATCTAGGGTTGGGGAATGGGGATTGCATTTAATAGTTTTTTTAGTTTTTACTTTTTTAAATGTTAAATATTTAATAGTTAATTAATTTGAATTTAATTAATTTTTGGCCCACGGGCCGTCCCAGGCCCAGCCTCGGTCAAGCCTCAAGGGCCAGCGGGCTGACTTGGGTCAGGCTTATAAGCCTTAGTTTTAGATGGACTCAAAAAATCCTAGCTCAACCCTACCCAAGTAGCAGGCTGGGTTGGGCTGGCCTCACAGGCCAAGCCCATTTTGACGACTCTAATTATCGCACACAAGTTCCATTCTGCTAATTTCACCAAATTTCAACTCCTTGAGCAATTGTTTGATCCAAACTAGCTCACATGTTGCCATAGCCATTGCTCGATATTCTGCTTTTGTACTAGACCGAGCAACCACATTCCGTTTCTTACTCTTCCAAGGCACCAAATTGCGTCTTTACTAAAACACAATATCCGTATGTAGAACGTCTATCAAAAGATGATCATTCCCAATCAGTATCTGAGTATCTAACGATCTACTCATGGCCTCGATCCTCAAACAATAACCCTATGCCCGGAGCTGATTTTACAGACCAAAAAATGCGGACAATTTCATCCTAATGACTATCACATGGAGAGTCCATTAACTGACTTACAACAGGTCTTGTCACTGTGAGGTAATTTAATTTACCAACCAACCGCCTATATCTTTCAGGATCGCTAAGCGACTCCCTCTGTCCTGGCATAAGTTTAGAATTCAGATCCATCTCAGTGTCAACAGGTCTACAGCCTGTCATTCCTGTCTCCTCAAGAATGTCTAAGGTATACTTCCATTGTGAGATCACAATACTTGAGCTAGACTGAACAACCTCAATACCTAAAAAATACTTTAATCTGCCCCGATCATGAGTTTGAAAGTATTGAAAGAGGTATTGCTTCAATTTAATAATACCATTGACATTTGAAGCAGAATGCCGATAAAACATAAAGTGATCAGCTTCACTATGAGTCATGCCAATCTCCTGGATAACTGTGTTGAACTTACCCAACCAGGCTCAAGGAGACTGCTTTAGACGATGAAGTAATCGGTGCAAGCGACAGACAAGGCCACGAGACTCCCCGTGAGCAACAATGCTCAAAATCAGGTGGTTGCTCTATGTAAACTTCATCATCAAGGTCACCGTGAAGAAAAACATTCTTAATGTTCAACTGATAGAGAGGCCAATACCGAACATCAGCCATGGATTGATAAAGACGGACTGGTGCTATTTTAGTCATAGGAGAGAAAGTATCATTGTAATCGAGCCCAAATATCTGAGTATATCCTTTGGCAACAAGACGAGCCTTATGTCGATCAACCTGGCCATCCAGACCAACTTTGACTGCATAAACCCAACGACAACTAACAATAGATTTACTTGGAAGAAGAACAAGCTCCCCAGTAACACTCGTATGTAAGCAGACATCTCGTCAATCATAGTATGTCGCCATCCTGGATGAGACAGAGCTTCACCTGTAGACTTAGGGATGGAAATAGAGGACAAAAAAGATATAAAAGTATAAAACTCCTCAATGGTTGGTATGGGTAAGACTTCTGTGGGTGAGGATGTTGGAGGAGCTATAGTAAACTCCTCAAAGGTCGGTATAGGTAAGACCTCAGATATATCAAGGTGGTCGGAAGAGGTAAAGCAAGGTCTAGACTCAAAAAATGTGACGACAACTGACATAAGGTACCTGCGAAGATCAAGTGAGTACAACGATATTCCTTTTGAACACGAGAATAACCAAGGAAAACACACTTGAAAGTACAAGTAACTAACTTATCTTTCCCAGGGGCTAAGTTATGAATGAAACATGTGCTCCCGAAAACAGGAGAGGGAAGAGAGTATAAAGGGTGATTGGGGAAATAATACTGAATGCTGAATCTGAGTTTGGATGGGAGATGAAGGCATCCGATTAATCAAATAACAAGTTGTGAGAACTGTATCGCCGAAAAATGCAACGGAACATGAGACTCAATAAGAAGTGTGCAACCAGTCTTAATGAGATGCCTATTCTTTCTCTGCAGACCCATTATGCTGAGAGGTAATAAGGAGATGTCTGATGAATAATTCCTTGAGAAGTTATAAGCTGCTGAAACTGAGAGGATAAATATTCTAAGGCATTATCACTGCGAAAAGTGCGAATAGAAACACCAAATTGATTTTTGATTTCAACACAAAACTCTGGAATATAGAAAACAACTCAGAACGATCTTTCATTAAGAAAAGCCAAGTACATCTTGAATAATCATTATAGAAACTAACAAAATAACGAAATTCCAAGATTGAGCTGACTCTACTAGGACCCCGTATATCAGAATGAACTAAAGAGAAAACAGATTTTGCATGACTCTCAACACTACGCGGAAAGGTGGCTCAGGTATGTTCCCAAGCTGACACGACTCAACAATCTAATGTAGGCAAATTAGGCACCATCTTCTGAAGCTTGGAAAAATTCGGATGTCCTAAACGTCTGCGAATTAGGTTTGGAGGATCTGTAACAGGACATGCTCAGGAGGGATTGAGTGAGTTAAGGTAGTAAAGGCCTTGTAATTCACGCCCTGTGCTAATCATTTGTCCCGCACTGTGGTCCCGCATAATAAAAGAATCATCAATAAAATATATACCACAATGGAGGGCACGAGTCAAACAATTAACAAATGCAAGACTAAAAGGACAGCCAGGGACATAAAGATTGAATTTAGAGTGACAGAAGATATGGGATTAGCTTGTCCAACTCCTTTTGCTTTAGTTTGGAATCTATTGGCTAAAGTAACAGTGGGAAGAGACTGTGAATATATAATATCCGACAAAAGTGATTTATTACTAGGTATATGATCAGAAGCGCCTGAGTCCATGACCCACGGTCCAAGAGTACTAGACTTAGAAACACAAGCAAAAGAATTACCAATAACAGAAGTATCAGTCTGAGCAACCGAGGCTACTTGTGGAGATGTCTGCTTACTTGCTCGATACTGAAGGAACTCATTATATTCCCTTTCAGATACAGAAAATCCCTGGTTAGCTGTAGTCTCGGTCCGAGCAACATAAGCATTTTTGGGTGGTCGACTATGTAAAGAATAACACACTGTATAACTGTGTCCAAGTTTATTACAATAAGAACATTTGGGTTGAGATTTTCCAAAACGACCTCCTCCTCGTCTATTCTCCATAGTTTGAGATGCCCGGTTTTTCACTGTCCGGGATGCGAGAACAGAGGAGTCAAGTGTCTGTGATGAGATCATTTGGTGCTGCAACAAGGCGAAATAATTGAGAGAATAATTCATTAACTGTAGGGACGGTCAGACTAGCCAAAATCTGGTCACGTACTGAATGAAGGCCATTAGGAAGTCCAGCTAGTGTAAGAGCTAAAAACATATTCTGTCGTTACTCTTGTTGCTTTTCAATATTAGCAGAAACTGTTATCAACTTCTCAAATTCCTCCATGATTGCATGTACTTGTTCCACGTAAGTAGACATATCCAATTCCTATTTGTCAAGTTTGTCATTCGCGCTATCACATCATAGAAATGAGATATGTCATTAGTATATAAAGTGTGAGCCTTTTCCCAAACTAAATGACACGTCTGGAGTGAACAAAACAAGGGCATCAGCTTGAGATCAATAGATCGCCACAAGATACTATGCAATTGAGCATCTATCTTTTCCCAAAGTGCTTTGGCATTTTCATCTCCATCACTAACCTTTTTTTGGTTAAGTGTAGTCCTACATACAATAGGAGTAGCGTATATATTATGTATTGTTATAAATAGGGGTACTTGTATTATAGTTAATGTACATCAATAATATAGTTTTCCCGTGTATTATTTCTCACATGGTATCAAAGCTCAGACAGTCGTCGTGCATCAATTTCCGGCGACTTTCTAGGGCAAATTTACGTCAAATCAATTTCTGTCTGTATTGTTCGAAAACCAACATCACCACAAGGTCCCCCAACTCCCGGCGACCAAACCCCAAAAAAATCTCCGGCATCAGAGGTGTCACGCGCCAATCAAAGTAAGTTTTTTCCCGGCGAGATTTGGTCCCCGCACCGGCGCGTGGGACCTTTTCCGGCCATTTTTTGGCCAACCTTCTTCAGGAAAGCTTGTTCACAAGGCAATTCCCACCCTAACCATCCAGGTTACACCTAATTCCGATAACCTTTTCTTTTTTGGCGACTTGTTGCAAGTTCCGACGACTGTTTCTAGTTTCCAGCGGCTACAATGTCCTTTTTCTGCTGCTTCTTGACTGTTTCTGTGACCTCTTAATTATTTGGTCTAACAATGTCTTTGGGAGTCGATATATTTGGTTCTAAAAACAAGGGTTCCGGAAATTCAAGCTTCATGATTACTTCGGAGCCCTTAATGGGAAGATCAAACTATTTAACTTGTGTTTCCTCTGTTGAATTGTGGTGCAAGGGTGTTCAAGATCTAAACAGAAACTAAAGTTATTGACTTTCTCTATACCACTCTACTAATATCAATCTACATTCTCCGTAATTCTGAGTTTTTTTTTTCTTTCCTCTAATATGGTATACACAACAAGAATTTTAGCAACATAAAATAGCTTATATCAAACCCTTGCTTATTTGCTACCTAACTTATCCTACGAAGCAGCTTGGATCCAAATTGCTGCTTCTTTGCTACCAAATTACCCTAAGATCTTCCACCCACCAAGAGTAGGGATGGCAATGAGGGGAAAGGCAGTACCTAGCACCACTCGAGAGGATCTGGGATGGCGATGGAGGAACAATATGTGGGCACGATAAGAGGAATGGGGGAGGGACGGGAATGGGAGAGGGGTGGGGGGAGGATGAGGACCAGTGGCTGGGCCAGTAATTTCACTAAGAGGTGTCAAGATATAAAGAAGTATACACTCGAAGAAACTAAGGAGATTCAATATATAGTCTATACACGTAAAAAGATAAATTTGGCCTAGCTACACAGTGTGACTTTTCGACGAAGGGGTGTCAATTGACACTCCTTAGTCTAAGGTGGCTTCGCCACCGGATGAGGTGAGTTGCATTTGGGGTGCCAGGTGGGGCTGTGTCACATGATCTTTCGGTATTTGGACGATAAATTAAAATTAAATGCAAATCAAAAGCTTGATTCGAATCTTGAGAAACAAATCAAAAACTCATATTTGGATCTTGACCGCTTCGTGAGTAACGTTAGACAACAATTAGTAACAAGCACTAATCACTAAGAATACCAAGAAGAAACTAAAAGGTATCAAAGAAGAAGTTATCTTACTACCTTGATCTACAAACTAGTTAGGTTGAAACATAAATCTCAAAACAAGAAGCATCAAATGTTCAAAAGAACTCTCAAGTAATAATATTCATCAAAAGTGAAGTTACAATCATGAAGAAAGCACCCCTTTACATAGGAACATATAAGAGGGTTGCTACCAACCCTATGATATTACATAGGTGCATAGAAGGCTGCAACACATTGCTATTCAACAAGCCTTAAAGGCGGGGTCAACATAGAATGGAATAAGTCTGAAGGCAATTTGTAGAAACTAAGTTAAAACACTAGTTTGGACCGCTTGACTTGCTCCATTTTTGGGTTGACTTGGTCCCCAACCCACCTCCTCTTGGACGTCAATTTGGGCCATCACTTGTAAGACTTGGCCAAAAGATCTTCCTTGGGCTCGAGCTCTTCTTCCACCATAATATACTTTTTAACTGCTAATTGAAGCCTAATAAGCTTGTCTTGAAATTCCTTTGTCTCCATTGGAGTTAAGATTTCAGGGATGCTATCACTTACCTTCCTCAAAGACCAAGAATTGTACAATGGGAAAGTCTTTCAAAAGTTTGTGAGTCGCTTCTTCAATTTCTGTCCATTCGAGTACTTGCCTCCTTTAGTATTGACAGATATGGCCATTGCACCACAAAAACATTTAAGGACAGGGTTTAGCAGAGAACTCAGTGTAGTCTTCACATAGAAAAAGTCTACTGTACACTTTAAATCCTCATTTTTTGATAAATTTTCCTCCATCAAGCATGCTTCATGTACAACCAACCAGCCGCAACAAGCTGCTCTAGGGAAGCTTTTGTTCTCCAGATTGCTTTCCAGGGCCAATTCTCTTGTGCATCAGCTGGAAAACAATTGGTAGCATAGTTTTACAGTGAATTGCCATTCTTGTCTCCTTTCCAGACTAGAGAATCTGGTTTATCTGGCTGAGTTTGTATGCCTGCTAGTATGAATAGTAATTGTGCTAAGTTTTCTATTTCACAGTCAAAAAGTTCCTCCTAAGCCCTAAATTGAATCTTTCACTATTCCAGTATTCTGCAATAGTGCCTCTTGGTTACAACTATGCCCAAAACTCAGGGAAGGCCTCTCTTAAGGGATTTGATCAAACCATGGGTCAATCCACGTTCTGGTTTTGTCCATCACGTACTACAATCTGTGTTAATTTTTGAAATTCACCCAAGCGGCTGTTAATTCTCTTCGAGAGAGATACACCATATGCCCGAGCTGTTTGTTTAGTGCACCATGGCCCATCCAAACCATACTTTTGTGATGATAACTTTCTTCCACATTGCATCCTGAACTCTCTAATTCCCAGACCTCCCCACTTTTAAGGGTGTGTAACCCAGCTCCACCTTACCAAGTATATTCCAGTTGTTTCACTTCCTTTTGAGGTGTTGAATGTTATGACATGGAATCCCATCCACTAAACTATTTTTTAGGGTGATTCTATTCCCCAAAGAAAGATATCACCTTTCCCATAAAGCAAGCCTGTTTTCACGTTTTCCACCACATTCTGTCACAGATCAGCATGTCTATGTGACCATGTTTAGCTCCGGCGCGAAGGCCCAAGTACATAGAAGGAAAATTTCCATTTTACGTCCCTATATAGCTGCTAATGACTTCATGTTCCCATTTCTAACAGAAAAGAGTTCACTTTTTCCCAAATTGACATGTAACCCAGAAACAGCTTTCAATATGTTCCCTTTCAAGTATCTTGGTTGTGATTCCTCTGAACCAGAGTACCAGGATATCGCCTGCATATAGGATGTGGAATACCAATCATGTTTTGTGTTTCCCTACCAGTGAAATTTCCTTGATCAATTTCCTTTTTTACTGCCTGCTAATCATTTTACTGAGGACTTGCACAAGTAACACAAAGAGGAAAGGGGACCAGGGATCCCTTGCTTCAACCTTTTTTGTGGCTGGAAGTAGTCTATTGGGGTGCCATTGATTAGGATCAACTACCTGACTGTCTCGTCAAGTTGCATGCTTCCTAATATTGATTCCATTTATTCGAAATCCCATAGTTCTCATCATATCTAGCAAAGAGGCCCAGTTAGCACGGTCATATGCTTTCTCCAGGTCTAGTTAGCAAACGACACCTTTTACCCGTTGCTTTTTCCTTGCATCCAAACATTTGTTGGCCACTATGCGCATCCACAATTTGCCTCCCCTCTACAAATGCATTTTGAGATTCAGGGATCAGTTTCCTAGTCGCCACGTGCAATGTTTTTGTATATGCTACCCAAATGACTGAAAGATTGAATGTCTTTTAACTCTAAAAGTGTTTGGAGCTCACACTAAAACTGCTATTCTTAGAACAAAAATATTGTATGAACTCTTCGTGGAGAAAAACTAATATCATACAAAGAGAAATATGCTTGCTAAGACCTCAACTGTTCATATACACAAGAAATAGAAAGCCTTCTGGATTGTGCACCATCAAATTTTATACAATGATCTTTGGTAACATCAAGGCAGAAGGTATTGGGAGAGTGACCTCATCTTGAATGGTGCCGTAGAGGATAAATATATAAGCGATCAGGAGAACAATAGCATCTAAATTCATTGCTGCATTCTTATTTGACTCTGAAATTTGGAGAAAGACTTCCCTTGACTTTTCATGATGGTGTTATTCCCGTTTTTTTTTCTAGTGCAGGGAATCTGCTGCAAATATTTATCGGACCAACCACCGGAATGCTATCAGTTAACTACACGCTATAGCATCTAGAGAGACGAAGGAAACCAGTTCTCTGCCCCTTCCTGCCTCCCCCGACCCTCCTCTTCCCTTTTCCTGTTCTGCTGCTATATCAGTAGATATTAATTTGTACAGTTGCATAGCGGTGTAAGCAGAAAAATTGTGGCCATGTTGGAAATTATTTACAACTGATAGGTGAGTTTCAAGTTCCCAGTCAATTCTATCAACCGAAGTTTTTGTAATCCAAGTTGATGCTGCAAAGGAGTTTTGTTCTTGAACTGGCTGCATTTCAGTAAGACTTGTGCATATTTTAAAGTGCTAGTTCTCCGCTAACATCTCAAATTGTTTGACATTATCTCATTTTTATACAATTCTTTCACAGATACCAAATTTCAAATTCAATGTTCTTCAACTTTCAATCTTTGATCTGATTTTTCTTTATCAAGCTAATTTTTAAACCATTACTTTAATATCTTCTTCTAGTAATAACTAATATAATTTATAAATCATTAAAACTGTGTCTAGTCCATTTTTTTTTTACATATAAGATGGAATGCATGGAGTATTTATCTTTTCGATTCTTCTTCTGTGTAGTGGAATGCATTTATAAAAATCCAACTGCAGCCCAGGACTAAATGTGGAGTAGCAAAATCATAAAGCGAATTTCTTTTATTGTTTTCTTTAACAATTTTAGTATGCATTCAATTATTTATAGTATATTTTTAAATGGGCCTACTGGCTATCTTTTTTTCATGGAATAATTTTGTTTTTTTTAAAACAAGGGTGAATTAGGATACACCAGGTATAAGGAGACAAGCCTACTAGTTTCAATAAAAAAAAATGAAAAAGCAAGCCTATTATCTTATTATTATATTTCAGTCGATTTTTCCCGAAAACATCGGACCTTCACAGAAGATTTCAGATTTAGATGATTATGACTTTCACAAATAAAACCTTTTTCAGTAAAAGTTATTTTGTAAGAAAACTATTCATTAAAGATTCAAATTAAGCTGGTTTCTAACCGGGACCATACAACTATAGGATTCAACTGAACCCAGTACTTTTGACGCGGAACATAAATTTATGTATAAAAATTCACTAAAATTACAATAAATAATAGATATGAATCCGTAAATTTAAATGCTGAACCCATAGAACTAAAATCCTAGATCCGCCTCTGGTTGCTATTATTGTTCGCGGAGTTTCAGTTGCTAATACTGTTTCTCCGAGGAAATCAATTCTCGATTTAGAGACAATCATTTCACTATTATTCCATTTCTCTTAATTATTTCACAAAAAAGGTGTGAACACATGATTTGAATAAATAGAGAATTCCTGAGTTACT